CACCCCCAGATGTGTTTCAGGGTCGTTTGGATGTGGTGTTGGTGGAGATGGTTTAGGGGAGACCTTTGTAGAGTAGGGATGATGGTTGGACTTGGTGATCCCAAGGGGCTTTTCCAACCTGAATAGTTCTATGATTCTGTGATTCTATGAAATCCTTGAAACAACAGCCCTGGGCAGAGCTGAGGGCTCCTTGGCTCCTGCTCAGACGGATCTACCTGTTTGGAGAAGCTCCCAACTCAATGTTGCCAATGCATTCTGTTCTCCATGTCTGTAACTGCTCCTCGCAGGGTTCCCGCAGCCTCGTCTCTACTGGTTCAAGAATGGGCAGCCCCTGAAGGCCTCGGATCGCATCCTGAAGACGGACAAACAGGAATTCCACTCGCTGGAAATCCGCGACGTCACTAAGGCAGATGCTGGCCAGTACTCAATATTTGTCATCAATTCTGCAGGTTCTGCATATTCCTCAGCTAGGCTGGTAGTCAAAGGTAAGTGTTGGGCTATTTTTGGGATCTTCTTTTTTCTAGGTCAGTGGCTTTTTCCATTTTATATAGTTATTTTTCTTCAGAAAGCTACCAAGGAAAATCAAAGGAAGTGGTCAAGACGATTTGGTTTAATTTTAGTTTGCCTGTAAATTTATTACATGTCCAAAAAATGAAGTATGTACTGCTCAATACTCTGTTATCTCATAAACATACCTTTTATTCTTGTCCAACCTCATTAACATGAATGGTTCATTTTATTAAACCTGAGGGCCACTTACAAATCCCACTACCATTTCTGTGTAGTATCTCCAGCAAGAAGTAAGAACCTAGAGCACCTTTTTTTTTTTTTTTAATTACCTGAAAGGTATTTGTATTTATTGTTTTGTTTGTTCTCTTTGTGTTACAGATCCTGATGAGAAAGAAGAGCCATCAGAAACAGGTGAGAGAAGCCATAGTTGGTGGTAACAGAACCTCTTGTAATTTTTCAGCAGTCTAAATTCTCACGTTCCATCAATAATGTTATTTTCAGATTCCCATGAGCAGCTGATACCACCAAGGTTCCTAGAAAGATTTACTAATAAAAAGGTGAAAAAAGGTGCAAGCATCACGTTATCTGTAAAAGTTGAAGGTATGTGAACAGACATCTTGCCTCTCTGCAAAACACTTCAATTCTGTAACTTCATGACACATTCTAGATTGGCCCAAGTCATTGTAACCTCATCTTCTGTATCTGAAGTCTGGGACTCTACTCCCAGCTTTGTAAGAGACTTTATGTACTTTACATGTATGTAAAACCAGGGATAAGAAGTCTTTGGAAAATGTGTTGATGAAGGGTTTTGGTTTTACAAAACCTTGTGTGCACTGCAAAAAGGCTTGTATTCCTTTCTATGTATTCTGCCTGTTATTGCAGGAAACAGACCAAAACAACGTTTAATCAGAGCAGTCACAGCTCATAATTGTAAGGAAGGAACACCAGCAGGAGAATTAAAGCTCATTGCATTGCCTTTCTTTTAGGACATCCTCCACCAGCTATTACTTGGCTGAAAGAACAGTCTCGGGAAGACATCCTGTGGATCAAACCAGACACTCCTGGGTATAAACTTGCCAGTTCAAATATGCACCACAGTCTGATCCTCCTGGATGTTAAGAAGAAATACAGTGGAGCCTACACGTGCATTGCTACCAACAAGGCTGGCCAGTCCATCTGCACTGCCATCCTGGAAGTTGCAGATGGTAAGTCTTTGTTACAATATAAACATATTCTCTAAATTACCCTTATACAGTGCCTAAGATAAAACCAAGTGTGACTGATAAGGAAATGAATACCTCACCACTGAAAAAAAAAAAGCAAAGCATTTTCCCAAGATTAGCCATGACTTTGCTTGCCTTGCACATGGTGACACTCTTTAATTCTATAATGTTTTAGTTTTCTGACCCTAGCTTGGATTAACAGCAGCATCTTTGCTGTATAAACACAAGATAAGTCTAAGAAACAACCAAATGAAGCAGAAGGGAAGAAAGGCAATGTAAAGTAACTAGAAAAAGTAAACATTTAAGTTGTTTTTTTTTTAAATGCTTCACTCTTCTAAGGTATTTTTGCTTTGTAGGATTGCCTTAAGGCAGCTGGAGTTATTCCATTCCTCTTTTACAGAGCTTTCCAGGGCCTCTCCTGGTACAGTTCATTCACTAAGAGGTGGAAGAAGCAGACGTAGGTTGGGAGTAGGGGCAGCACTACAGAAGGCTCAATTTTTCTGTTATCCTTCCTTGCATCTCACATTTTTACTCTACCAAGAGCTCAGGAGCACAGGATGAGCAGTGTAGAGAAACGAGGCCATCACACATCTGTATGAACAGGGAGAGGAGTAAGTAATTGCATTGTATAATTAGGAGTATGTATCCCAGGTCAAGAGCTGCAAACAGGGCAGATTAATTATTCCAGTGGTCCCAGTAATCCATGTGTAGAAAACGTGCCTACAATAGGTACACAAAACATCCTCTGCCTTCTGTCCTCTAATGATAAACCCTAATCTTGCAGTGAAAGAGGCTGAAGTTCTGACCCAGGAGCGTGTGATGGTGTCAGAAGCCATCATGACCACACTGGGGTAAGTGGTTGGCCACCCATGCTGGGGTGGAGCAGTGCAGGTACCATCCTGCAGAAGTTCCCAGGAGTCACTTTTAGGCATGTGTTCTCTTTGAACATCCTATATTCAAGTCTTAGTACTTAGCACTAGAGTTAAAACAGTTTGAGGTCCTAGGGTGGAAATATTCTAGTACCAATGTCAGCCACCTTTGCTGGTTTATCAGGGAAGATAAAAACAAGGACAAAAAGACTAATAAAATGGGTAGGTCATATAAAACTCTTGCTACTTTTAATCTCCTAATCAGAAGTAAAAAAAAAAATAAAATAATCACAGGGTTAAGGCCTGACTGTTACTTGCCAACATCAAAATTCATTGATGCTTCACAGAAAAGGAAGTAGATGAAAAGGGTCTGGTCACAAACTTCTTGTTTACAAATGCACATGACAAATAACTTCAGTTCTCCACTGTTGGCTTGGATACTAGGCAGACACAATCTGAAAAGTGGCATCCAGCTGAACACACATTGACTTCTAGAGTATGTAGAGCCTAAAAGGCTTGACCAGTCTTCCTCTGGTGTGTGAAGAAAGCTGCAGTGGGAATGCAGCTGTTTCCCTGCAGCCTCTCCAAGGATCTGCCCAGGCTCCATTAAACACACTTGGTGACACCTGGTTTGTCATAGATGAAGTGGAGTGAGCTTCCTCCTGCTTCCTACATACTCACAGAGAATCAGGGCAGATCAGCTTGTGCAATGACTGTTTATATCTTGCCTACAAAAACCACAGGAACAGCAAAGACATTCACTTCAGGATGTAGGAGTTTGGTTTTCTTTGCAGAGCTGTAGTCTTGGGAAACACCACAAAGGCTCTTCATCAGGTGCAAGCAAATTCTGGCAGTTTTTCACATCTTTGTGGTCATTTTCACTCAGTGTTGACAGTATCCTCTTCTGCCCCTTTCCTACTGGAACGGGATGAATTTGGTGCTGGTAAAAACTGCCAGTGTAGCAACTGTCTCTTTAGACCTCAGAAACACTGCAGAACCAGCAGCTTGTTTCCCCAACACTATGTGATGTGATCTTGGCAGGACCACAGCAGCTGCATGTTCTGCAGGCCTTGGTTTCCTGATTAATCCACTGGGGATTGTTGAGCACCAGTTCACTGAAAACTGCCTGAGACTACAGATCCTCATTTGACATAAAGTCTCCAACTGTGACAATTTTATTTCATGCCAGCTGAGAATAAAGTCCTAGAAACACCAGGGAGCTGGAAGCTACTCTGTCCTGCAACCTACTCCCTGAGGAGTCAGGTCTTCTCAAGCCAAATAAAAGTCAGGAATGAGGAGAATTCTCATATGGGATTACACAGAATCACAGAATCTTAGGGGCTGGAAGGAACCTCTAGAGATCATCTCATCCAACCCCCCTGCCAGAGCAGGATCCCCTAGAGCACATCACACAGCAACTTGTCCAGGTGAGTCTTGAAAGTCTCCAGAGAAGGAGACTCTACAGCCTCTCTGGGCAGCCTGTCCCAGGGCTCTGTCACTCTCACAGGAAAGAAGTTTTGGCTCAAAGGATTTGGCTCAAAGATTATCTCACCTGAGTGTTCCTGTGCCCATATGGGCCAGGTGCCCCAATTCTGATTTCTCATATTGGCCCTGGTGAGCATCAGCTGCCAGAACCTGCAGCCCAAACCAGAGTCCTAACTTAGATATTCCAAGCCTTTAGGTACCAGGTGTGAGGTGGAGGGAAGTTTCTCGTTTTCCTCTCCTTACTACACATTTTAATTTAATTTTTAACTCTGCTTTACTCTTTTTTTTATTCTTTTTTTTTCAGAGATATTCATCCCTCTGAAACAAGAGGTAAGAGAAGCTGTTTTCTCTCTCCTACTCCTGCCCTTTACACCTACAGCTGTTTGTCTATGTATTTCATTATTATCACCTGCTCTTGTTCTATGCTCTTGAAACTGTCTGAAATGTTGGAACTTTTCAGGACTGGTCTCTGTTCAAGAGTGAATGATTTGGATGAAATGTGAGCAAGTACAGTTTTAAAAGCAGGGGAAGTGAAGAAAATGAGACCTTCCTTCCACAGAAGCTTTTGTTACTCCAAAAAAAAAGAAGACATTGCATATTTAATAGAAAATTCTCTTTTTACCAGGAGACCTTGAAGCTGGTAGAGAAGGTGTACCCAAAAGCCCTATTTCATTGGCTGATGTTGGCTCAGAAGAGTTCTTCCAGAAACTCACCTCCCGTATCTCAGAAATGGTATCTGCAAAAATAAGTCAGGGTAAGGAACCTGGCAGGCACAATTTAATCCGTGTAGAAAAATATGCAGTCTTTTGTTGTTTAGGGTTTGGTGGGGTTTTTTTTGGTATCTGTTAGACTTTAAATATCAATGAGATTTATCAAAAAAGTTTTGAGACAGTTATGTCTGTAAATGCTGAGAATTAAGAATTTTTAGTAAGAATCCAACCAAACTGTGTGTCTTAGTCTAAGATCTGGCACTAGAATAACAGCAATTACAGTAAATTAAGATGATGAATGTGCATTTAATGCATACAGTGTTTATTTAAGTGAGCAGGAGTAAGTGCAAGCTTTAGAAAGGAGGGCAACTTGTAAAAATGGATGTATATTTTGAACATCTTAGGCATGTTGTGTTCCTCAGACATTCATCACTCCCGAGTCTGAAAGCAATCCTGTTTGGAAGATCTCCCACATCCTCAAATGTAACACACAGTGGGATTTTGAAATCAAGTTGAGGCTGAAAATAGCTGTGCACAGCTGTGCAGTAATCACCTGATTTGTTGAATTAAAAGAAAGATTCTGGTTTCTGTATCATATACTAATTAACTTGTAGCAAAACTGTATCTTGAAGCAAAACCAGAGGCATTGCCTCTGCTACAAATACTCATGCAGTGCAAAAGCAACACATGCAGCAGGTGTGCAACCTTGTGTATTCAAACACCCCAATTACTCCTTTAATCAGAAACATCAGCAGGA